TAATAATAATAATAATAATAATAATAATAATAATAATAATAATAATAATAATAATAATAATAATAATAAACAACAGTAGCAATAAAAGAAAGGGCGAGGAAAAAATATTGCTAATAAATTTAATATAAAAATTTCTAAAATATCTTACCAATTTTGTTTTTAGTGTATTTTTTAAATTTAAAATTCTTGTCATAATTTTTAGCTTCAATACGAATAACACGTCCAACAGCACGTGAAGTATCACGTATTCTCCTGTCTAGTTCACAAGCTGTACTACATGAGAAATACAATGCATTGGTAATGCAATTTGGACAATTCATGTCACATGATATTGCTAAAACAACCCTACAACCATCAGCTAAATGTATATCCTGTAAACCGGTACCATCAATTTGCATGACGATACCAATTTCCGGAAAGGATAGCAATCAAGCGTATATATTTTTGATTTTACATCAATTTTTCATCATATTTAATTTAATCCAGTTTGAACAATTTAATTTTAATTAATTTAAATTAAATTTAATTTAATTTAAAAACATTTAATGAAGTATAACATTTTTCTGATTACTTTAATATTTCGGATTTTTTTTAAGTACTTTTGAATTAATTAAAATTTTCTCAATATTTGTAGTACTATGAAAAATTTTTAGAATAATTATATGGTTACATTAAAATAATCATATTTTTCAACTTTAAAAATGACACTTACTACTTTCATCCATGTCCTTATCATTCATTTATCACCTAGTTTATCAATCCAATCAATGGAATAATATAGTAAAATTGAATTGAAAGAGAGAGAGAGAGAGAGAGAGAGAAAAAAAAAGGTTTACATTATTGCTCATTCAATTATTATCATCCATACTCTTATCATTCATTTATCATCTTCTTTATCAATACAATCATTGAAATTATAGCATGTAATTAAATTTGAAAAAAAAAAACTACCTAATTTTATCAAAGCCAATATTATCCAATTATATAACAGGATTCAAATTTAAAATGAAAAAGAAAAAAGGGAAATGATAATGAAGAACAAAGAAGATGTTGTAAAATTGATTAATGATAAGGAAACAAATGTAAACGATGTCGATAAGGAATGAAAAACTAGAATAAATAGTATGGAATGAATTGCTGCTTCACGAATGATTTTTGCGCGCACCACAAGCAATAGCGAAAAATGATTTTTGCGCGTGCTATAAGCAAATAGCGCAAAATGATTTATCCTAAAATGATTTTTGCGCGTGCTATAAGCAAATAGCGCAAAATGATTTACCATTCAGCAAAATAATAAATTCTTTCTCTTCTAGATGATTACCGTTTATTTTTTTTCTTTTTGTATAAAATCATGATCATTAATTTATATGAAATTATAATAATTGAAGCAATATACTTCGTAGTATAATTAATAACAACAACAAAAAAAAAAAAGATGAGCAGTAATCAGATCAATTATATTTTATTTTATCAATTACAAAATGATAGCAATCATAGTAATATCATTTACTAAATATAATTTTTAAAAATCTAAAAAAAAAAATTTCAATTATTTTTCACAAAATTAGCGTAATTATTAGCATTTTAACCAATTATTTCACGTGAAATTACGAAAAAAAAGTGTGAAATTGTTACTTGAAATATTGATCATTTAACTAAATGAAATTTCACACTATTTAGGAATAATATTATCACTGTTATCACTAATACTTCAGTACAATTTTCGATATTTATTTCATTTTCATCTATTCATTCTAGTTTTTCTGCTTATTTAATTATTGAAATTAATATTTTAAAGTATTTATTATTTGCAAATGTTCATTAAAAATTGATATTTTAAAAATCACAAGATAGTTTCTATCATACATTTCCCGCTACTATCAATTACTATCATCCCTTATCACACAATTATTTCTATAACTATTTTATATCTTTATTATTGCTATTATCATTATAAATTATTCGTTATCATTTATTATTATCATTATTATTAGTATTATTGTTTCC